TGTCAAACTTATCCAGGCACCTGCTTTGCCCAACACGAAAGCCAACGCACGGCCGCAAGATCGACCTCAGACTCTCTTGGAAAGTTCACGTCCCGGTGTGCACCGAGCCACTCGAACAAAGTAGGTAAGGATTTGTTTGGGTGTCCTCACAGGTAGATGCCGCAAGAACTGGAATCACCTGCACAAAATCTCACCTCCTGAACAAGGCCTTCATGCAGTGGACAACTTCGAAGCTCAAGCCTCAGAGTCTTGTGGAAATTTCATACTCCAGGAGACAACCTGAGAGCGCTCATGCAAAGTAGGTAAGGTAATCTTTGCTGTCCTCACCGGCAAAGTCTAAACTGCCAACATGGCACACGCAGGCATTGCTTTCCAGCATTGGCGCACCCTGTCTTGCAGAGCTTGCAAAAAAAGGAGGAAAGTCTGATGCCCTTCTTGAAGGTTGCCCATCTGCTCCGACTAGCAAGGGGCTGTAAAATCATTTAAATGCGGAAGATTCGTCGAATGATAGGCAAGCTCCTTCATGACGGACCCCATCAGATAGCTCAGAGACTCAGAATGTCACCCCACCCAGACTCGACCTTGTTGAGGAACCCTGCAACACCCCAAGAAAAGGTTCTGAAAACAGGGCTTTGAGGGTCTCTGGTCAGTGTGCTTCCAGCCCCCGGATTTGAGCCCATCCTCTGGGCATCCTAAACCCTAAACTTTCTAAACTCCCAAGCTCCCTAAACCCCCAGCACTAACCCCACCTCGTCGAGCTCGTCTTCATCAACTACGCCGGAGTCTGGCCCGCCTGCAGCCCGGAGCCGGATCGGAGGTTTCTAAGCCCCAAAGCCCTCCCACGACCTGAGACTCGGGAGAACTCCGTCCGGGGCTCGAGTGTGGAAACCCCAAAGTTGCATGTGAACCCTCGGTCTTGTCCGCTCTTTTGAACCATCTGCAGGCCTGAAGCCATGTCGGCTCCGCATGCAGGCACCGATCTCCGCAGAACTATGGCTTGCTAAGTCGGCATTTAGCTTTGGAGGCCAAGGCATTGCAGGATCATCAAGTTATCTATATTTACACTAGAACCTGAATGAGTCCTTCATCATGTCCTTCACCCACAAAACCTGAACCCTACCCCAAACCTGACCCATACCAGGGACTGAGGCTGTGCAAGGATCCTGGTCGGAGATCATCCGCAACGATATTCTGCATTCTTCATTCTGCAGGAAGCCTTCCTGACTGTGAGCAAGTAGCAATGCGACGGTGAGCCACAGTCTCTGCAAATTAGATACGCATGTTTCACAAACTGGAGCCTTTCAAGAGGAGGTTTGAGGAATCGAGCCAAGGATGTACACACATCCTATATGTCCTATGTGACAAAAACGCCCCTATCTATCGAAAGAAATGATCTACACAGGACCATTGACCACTTCGTTTACCGGCAGTGACTCTCCAGTGGCTGTGGCAGACAATCGCCACTAGCACACCATCATCACCGACCAACCAACCAACCCAACCCAACCCAACCCAGCCCAACACAACCCAACCCAACCCAACCCAGCCCAACCCAACCCAACCCAACCACCACTGCCAGCACAACCTCTACTACTACCGACGAAAGTACCGCCACTCCCACCACCAGCACTACCACTAGCAGTCACTAGGCACTCCCACAGTATGCTATGGCAACTGCCACACCTCTCGTACTTTCACTAACAACACACAATTAGAATGGCTGCATGGACTTCCGGACTTTGGTTCAGACTTGGCACTTGAGAGGTTTGAGAGCGGCACTAGCTTCTGAATGCCGGATTGTTTCATGCAGGGACACTTCCTTCTATTATCACTGCTTTCAGTGGATGAATTGCCCTAGTGCTAGTAGTGACACGCGTGGTATCAGCTGCGGTCTGCAGCAGCAAGTGTCGTTGCGGTGGTGCTACATTCTCCTGCTGCACCTACTACCACCACCACCACCACCACCACCACCACGACTACTACTACTACTACTACTACTACTACTCCTACTACTCCTACTGCTGCTACAACTACTACTGCTACTAGGCATTGGGAAACCTCAAACTTTAACTTTCGCATTGAGAGACGTCATGTAGAAATCTAGTCCTATGTATGGTAAATTGGTGAAGATATGCATAGATAGAAGAACTGTTTGAGTTCAACTTCGAACATGTCCAAAAGTTTCGGAGCAGGAATAAAATGTGGCCTCTGGGCTGGCAGACTTGAGCTGTGCCTTGATGGCTTAGAGGTGCCAGTTTTCTCCCGCATCTCGGCGCAAGTGCACAATCCTGCAGGGCGTCTCTGCCTTGCGGCGTCCCACGATGGCGATGGAGCGATGAGGATCGGACTTGAAAGATGCCTTCCCGGCTGGCTCAGGCCCTGGAAGGGGGCATTTCTCCCCAAGACCTCCCGCAGCTCCGGGTCAAGGTTCGGTACCACGCTACATGCTACGGCGGTAGGCCATCCATGAAGAGTACCTGCTCGCGATTTCGAGATTTAATGAGCAGTGCCAGAGCGGAGAAACCATGCAGAGACGCCATAAAAGAAGCTAATACCGCACAGCTCTGATAGTTCTTGGGGCTATAACAGGAGAACTAAGTACGTAGCACAGCCCAAATCCGCACAGCGGTCAAAGTGAGATGATGTAAAATAGAGTGATAAAGACAGGAACCCGTAGCGGTGTCGGCATCATCGCCATCAACATGACCATCAAGATAATGAACACCATGGTCATCAATCCTACCCGCTCGGGTCCAAACAGTTCGGGGCCGGGCTCGTGATGCGAACTGCTGCTCTGCGGTTTTAGTCTTCGGTATAGCGGTACTATCGTATAGGAGCTCCCAAAATTACGAATCTCGAGGTTACTTCCCGGAGCTGGTTATGGCGCCCTATACCCTAAAGATGAGAATGTGCATAATTTATTCAGAGTGGTTTTCGGAGGGCTTAGGGGAGTGACTCTATTTCAAGCACGGCTTCCGAGTGGGTTTGCCTACAAGTATGGGCTCACTGCAATCGCACCGTGTACCGAAACCGTAGAGGGCGGATGCCTCGTCGGAGATACCGGCCAGCGGAGTTCTCGGAAGACCTCCCGGGCCGCTTCTTATGAATCAGGCACAGCAGAGCTCTGCACCTCTCTCCCCTCGTGGCCATCATTCTAACTCCCACCTTCCCAACCTGAGAAACCCAGTTTCGAAGCCCCAAACCATTTCTGACGTATCACCTGCGCACGATCCTTATAAACAGCTATCCCGCCTCCGAACAACCCGCCAAAAAAAAAAAACAGCCCCCACTAAAAGGCCGCAAGCCGCAAACCCTAGACCCCTCTGCCCCAGAATATGGAACCTCCAGACCCGAAGCCCCAAATCCTCTTCCTCAAATTCCTGAAGCCTCCACTAGCCCTCTAAAAGCCTCCTCGAGCTACTCCGGCTCCGGGGCCGATGAACCCAAGGTCAGCAGCTTCCTCCCCAGGATTTTTGGATGGTTTAGGGCTAGCAAGGCCGCATTTCGGGCTTTAACGCTTACGAAGGGCTCTATACGCGTTCTACTGGGGCTCCTGGCTTTTTTAAAGAGGCTTTTGGGCGCAAGGGCTTCAAGGCTTTGGGGTTTAGTGTCGGAGGTCTTAGGATGCGGGCTTTGAGAACATGGGTTTTACGCCTTGGTTCGTTTGGACGTCTCTCGGACTTCGAGCTTGTGGTTGTGTATTTTGTAGCTCGGGTTCAGGGTCTGCGTGCCTGCAGTGATGTGGCTTCGGGCTTTGAGTTTCTAGCTTCAGCTAGAAGCTCAAGTTCCCTGGTTTCCTGGCTACGGAAAGCGGGCCAATTCATCACAAGATGAACAAACAGGAAAGCCCTGCGCAGTTCAGCTGTCGGCTTATCCATTTGGATGCATACACCTGCAAACATCACACTTGCTTGTCGCATTGCATCATAGGATATTCTAACTGTACAAGACATGTATCCTTGTGACACACACACACGCACTTGCAGCATGAAAGGCTGCCATCGTATGTGTGTGGGGAAGGATAACATGCACGGTCGCAGACCTGGGACGTCGATGAAGTGGCGTCATAGCAAAGGTCGGCGGCCATCCCTAGCCTCGTCAAGCGGAATGGCGCCTACATAGCAGTCGAGGCTGCTTGGGGATGCTGACTCGATCCCACTGTGCAAGAGCTTTCATGAAATATTCTGCCTTCTGTGAAGAAATGCCACTGCTCTCAGCAAGATCACAGCGGCGTCACCGTGCCCTGCTGATAATCAAAACTACGAGTAGCGCCCTCTGCTGTCCAGCAATAGACTCACAAACCATCAAACACGGAAGCCAAACGGAGAGATCAGAAGCTCCTGATAGACTCACCCATGCTGACCGTTCAGCACGGGCACTAGCCGCACCCGCTTTAAAACCAGCAAAGTAACGACAGCAGTCGTGATGATGGTGCTGGTCGTCGTCATGGTGTTGTAGCAGCAGACTTTGACTGTGCGCTTCGAGAACTGGACTCAGTAAAGGCTTTCAATAGTACCGATGTTCGCGGATGCTGACCACGACGATGGTTATGAAGGCGATGGCTATGATGATGGTGAGGAGGATGATGACGATGATGCTTCCGAGGGCGATGACGGTGATGGCGATGATGAGGCGCACAAAACTTGCAGAGGAGTAGAACTGAACCAAGCAAAACCAAACGCAAGGACCGCACAAGCGATTTTAAAAAAAATGAAGCCGGACGTAGGCCCGTGCTGAAGTCATCGGAAGCCGGAAGAACCTGAGCATCTTGTCGATTTCGGATCGAGGCCAATGGTGGAAGTCCGACTTCAGCTTACTGGCCAGATCGTCAGTGAATAGCGTGGTTCTCGTGATCCACGAGATTAGCTTTTCCAAGGCGACCCGGACCCTGAAGCGAACTCACAACTGCCACAGTCACTCCAAACAGTACCAGCAACACAATAGAGAAACCCTCGTGATGATAAGAAGTTAACCATGCCATAAATCAAGAGAGAGCAACACTATGCAGGGACGTCAGCGGATTTGGACATCTTAGTGTCCTCAAGCTTGCAAACTTTAGGCTTCGGGATTTGAAGTTTGGGACTGGAGACATCAGAAACATGCCGTGGCAAACGCAAGCTGCCAGCAGAGTTTACCGACATTTCGTGTCAGAGGCATCGTGCACAACGAACCTCGAGCCTGCACCTAAAGCTCGGGGGAAGCCGCGACACGGAAAAATCCTAAACCGCTTGAACCTTGTGTCGTTTGTTTGGTTCCTGCCTCCTGCACCAGCCCATCTGCTTCAGTCAATCCTGCAGCAGAGTCATACAAGCAGCTCAGAAGTCTGACAGACATAACCGTCGTCGTTATGCTGAAAGGAGGAATCAGTCTGGTGGTGGAAACGGGGGCAGTGCGATAAAACGGCGACATGACTCCGCGGACAAGAGATCCCGAGATCGGGACGGGCCTCCGTCCATGTAGCCGAGCTTCAGGCTTCTCCTGCCGACGGCTGTCCAGTCGGATCGTCTTCGGGAAATCCCAGGTGTTGAGTTTACATGTGGGGCTCGCGGGGCTACGGAACAGGGCTCGGGTTTTACATTTCAAGGTCCAAGCTTCGCATCTCAGGCTCGGGAATGCCGTATCAGGATCAGAGATGCTCTGCCGGAGGAGTTTCGAGAGAATCTCGGGTTCAGAGATGTTCAGAGCTCGGGTTGGTATCTGGGGGAGCTCCAGCAGCGGCTGCTTATGGATGTCTGAGATGCAGCATTTAGTGCCTAGGACAAGTGGAAGCAAATAACAATGGCACGACAGCAGAGAGGCTGCGGCTGCTGGCTGCGGTAAAACCGGCGTCCTTAAGTCGCAAAATGTCGTCTCAATGCGACGCAAGCGGACAATCACCGAAGCCTGGCTGGTGGAAAGCCATGCTCTGATAACGCCTCTTCTTGCAGCTTGGGTTTGATTCAAGGCGCATGACCATGGTCATCAACATCATGCTGTAAACTCGAACCCGTTGCCGACAAGCAGCAAAAGCTTCAGAAACACATGGCCGGCTCTTCATCGGTTTCGAGAAACTTGCATGCCCGCAATGCCTTGCAACATAATATGCTGATCCATAGATGCCCAACTGGCTGGCCGGGAACACCGGTAGAGATGGCAGCTGCAAATCCACCTCTCATGATCCATCGACATGCATTCACTCGTTAACGCATGTACACAGACGTCATCATACGTCAATAGTCTCTGCTGTGGGATGCAGGGTGAGCGGCAGAGTAGTTTGTTCCGCAGGTTTTCACGCGACTCAATAACGACCAAAATCAGACCGTGCGTTGCTGATTCCTTTCTCGGACACCGCGGGAGCAATTCTGCAAGCCCCAAGCTCCCAGCCTCTTCAAGCAGGCACGACAGCTCCAAGGCCTCTCGCGGTCGCTGCACTTAAGTCCACAAAACGGGTTCAGATCAGGCTTGTGAGCCTCGTGGGGATCAGGATCTCTCGGGCTGTCCGATCTAAGCTTGCGGATTTGTCGTTTCAGGGCTCGGGGTGAATTGATGTTCTCAGGACACGGAGCGCAGGCATTGGGGCTGTAGACGCCGGTTTCGGTGGTCGTCTCGCTGAAGCTGCCTGCTGTAAAGAAAGCTGAGACCGTCAACAAAGTGTGCTTCCCATCCTGCACCGCTGGCATGACATGCAGGGGGTTGGCCTTTGCGCAAACATCCGGACGACAACCCCAACGGGAAATCCTTGAAACCTGCTAAGGCCGCAGAGCAGGATCAGTGCAAAGATTCTTCGATTTTCTTAGGCCTTAGGTTCCCTCCCTGAGTGCTGAAAGAGCCTTAAGGCCCAGGGACACCGATGCAGAAACCCCGAAGCCGGCAGTCTAGCCGTCCATCAAGCGTCCGGCACCCGAGCCTGGTCCAGGATGCCGACCACGGCAGTCAGGGCGTCCTTCGTAAGGTTCAGGGTTTGGGATGTAAGTGTTAGGGTTTAGGTTTAGGGTTCGGGAGCTCCTTCTTGTTAGTATGACTGCTACCACTGTTTCTGTTGTCTTGATACCATGCTCAATTCTCCCTACTGCGACGCAGATCACTGTCGGTATCGCAGCCATTACCTTTCTGTGCTCTCCGTCATGGTCGTTGAGACTTTTTCTCCGACACGCTGGTTGAGAGAGCTTGGAGGGATGTTGAAGGCATGCATGGAGACCCCAAAAAAACGCTGAAGAAAAACCCAAACCATACCACCCCGACACCCACTATCTTAGAATGCCAACCTGAACTCCCTAGGCCAGCGGCACCCCGATCCAGCGACATATCTGATCCGCAAAAAGCAGCCGTAAGTCCCAAACTCCCCCCCCCCCCCCCCCCNNCCCCCCCCCCTCCCCCGCCCCCCCCTCCCCCCCACAAAACAATTCAATAGCCCCCCCTGAAGCACTTCAACCCTTCCAAACCTGCCTGCGAGCCAGCCTCTAGGAAGCTCCGGGCCTGGATCGCACAGGAACTTTTTGTGAAATGTCTTGCATGAAGGCAGAAGTCCTTGTATCCTTGTAATACGGATATGAATATGCTTAGGTTTGTTCTGAGACTCCCATATCGGCATTGGTACTGGCCCTCACGCAGTTCAGCTTGGTCTTAGTGTTGAACTTTCTGGTAATTAATGGCCATTAATATTTACTGCTCTGATTGGTGCTGCGGCTTGTAGGGGTGAGGAGGACGAAAACAATCGGGATTATTACAGCAGCCAAACTCGCAGTGACCATAACAGTCACAACAGGAAGTGTATCAAAAGAAGATACCGAAAAACACTGAACTACGAAGTCTACTACTAGGGATGCGGAGACAAAACCACGACGACAACATCAACAACATTGATGCTGATGACAGCAAGTATAAACATACTCACAGCGAAACAGGCCTGACAGATAGACAGCGATAGTGTCAATCAGAAGCAACAATCCTAGTAGTATTTAAGAATTTAAGAAATACAAGAGAAGGGCACATCGTTGCACCGATCGCAATCATGACTATCGTCAACACAACTGTCTCCCTCATGATAAGGGAACCATACAGTCTGCTGAAGCCATTGTTGCTGTCAGGCTAGCTAGTGCTGAACTATCCTGTAGCAGAACACTCCAAGAAATGCCGGATGACGAAAACTGCCAAGTTTTACTTCGCATCTGCATCTCGGCATAGTGCCGACAGTACTCTTAGCAGTAGGCATGATACCAATGAAGAAACAAGCAGAATGTTGTTATTCAGGCGTCAGACCTCAAGAAAACCAAAGCCCTCGCCTGGACACTTCCAAGGACTCAACTGAACCCAAGCTCTTGATCCCGCCTGCAAATCTCCTACTCAAGCCTGAACCCAAAGCGTCTATAAACCACGGCCGAAGCCCGAAGAAGCCGACCAACTGATGAGTCTAAGACCTTGTCTAAAGCCTTAGAGCCTTAGGGGGGCTTCTCCAATGTGGAAACCTACAAAGGCTCAGGCCACACAGCGCCGGAGGCAAGCGCTGTGGGCGGCGAGGAGTGTGTCCAGGGAGGAAGCTTCCATCACCTGCGAGGGAGAAGGCTCGGGGGTCATGACTTGGAGGGCTCCGTTTCACTGGGTTCAGAGTGGGGCTTGGGTTGCCGACTGAGGTGTGTGTAGGGCTCCATGAATTGGACGAAGTCGCAGGATTTCATGGCATCACACAACTTCTGCCTGGCAGGGCAGCATCAATTCACACCATCCCCTCAAAGCCACATCGTCATCCAAGCAAGAGTTGTACGTACTGTAGTCAATCAGACTGCAGACACGGTCATGACGATGACTACCAGGCGAACAAGAATCGGTGCGGTGCTCTGTAACACGAAAGATGTGACATACCCTTGCAAGTCATACCACTGTTTGGTCTGGAGTGTGAAAGGCACTGTTCCCCTTGAGGGTACTGTGCGTGGCGCACCCTCAGAAAATAGATGCACCTTCGCTTCCAACTGCTTGAACTCCGTGGCCACGACATCTACCAGGAGGTAGCGATGAATTCTGAGCGAAGTGTTCAAGGCTTTCCCACTATTGAAGAAGGGCCTTACGTGGGCTCCTGTGCAATCCTAGCTACAAAACCGCTGGATGCTGGCCTGGGGCATGTCCTTCCAAGAGGCTTCCTACAGAGTGTGTGTTCGCAATCCAAGCCCTCCCCACCATCGGACAAAGTCGAAGGAGAAGCTGTGGCCACGGCGTTGCCGCGAAATGGTGAAGTTCATGGCGCAATGCGATGAGGGCCGTCCTGGGCATCACCCAGCTCTTCGTGCCGAAAGATAAAAACTCCGTCAGGCCTACGATGATGCACAACCCCACGCCTAGCAGCCTAATAACACCCAGAACTCTGACCCTCAAAATCCGAATTCGGTAGTAAGCATCCTAGAACCAACGCAAGACCCACACCCTGATACGCACAAGAAGCTCAAAGGGTAGCCGGCAAAAGATCTTATGGCAAAGGTCTAGGGTCTAGCGCTTCGTAACTTGGAGAAAAGTTCGGGAGTGATCTCAAATCGTGCACCCTGTTCCTTCGGTCCTTGCGGCCTTTCGGATAAAAACCTACGACGCTCTCAAACCCCACGGTGTGCCGCCGCACATGAAACTGCACGATCAAATGCAGCACCTCCGGTAGACGTAAAGGTGCCATATCACCCAACACAACCTGCCAAAACAACAAACACGCAATGCAGCCTGCCAAAACCTGAGGACCTAAGGAGTAGAGCCCCAAACCGCTCAAACCTAGAAAGGAAGGAAGAACAACACCTCTTATGGGTGTGTCAAGACTTGAGGTTTGGAGCTTCGCGATGGGGGCTTCAGGGACGAGGAACTCACAACAGCATCTCCGAGCCCCTTGCGGTGGCATCGCAGAGCCCCTGCTGCCTGGGGCTCCACGGCTCCGAAGCTCGAATCGGTTGCTGAAAGCAGCGTGCAGTCGATGCTTTTCACCCGGCTTTGCGCCCTGCGTTCTTCGTTTTTCTGACGAGTGTAATGGAGCTTGCAATTTGATCTTGCAGTGCAGCTCTCCGTTCGTACGACTATGGGCACTTCAGGTCCAACCCTGGCCGAGCACTGCAAAAGATCGTAAGGCGCGGGACAAGAGGCAGGACGAAGGTGAGGGGAACATCGAGGAAGAGCCTTCTGATTTCTCGACCAAGCCGTATCGTCCTAAGGGCCCCAAAAAGCAGAGCCTCAGAACCCTCAAACCTCAACGCAAGCTCACACTCCCCTTCTGCTCGGGAGTAACCTCCTTTCGCCGGGATCCCACCTGCACCGAGACCGGCCAGGGCACCCCTCGGAGCAGGGTGCAGGGCAAGGGCTTCTGTACAGGAAAGAAGAGATGCATACATGAAGACATGAAGACATCCCGTTGCACACATAATCCCATGCGGACAGAACTACTTGCTGGACTTGCCCAAGGTTTCGGAACGGTTTGGAGACTTGCAGATTCGAGGGTTGGAACGGTTGGAACGTGAAGCCATGGCTTCTGTGTGCACCCCCTGCCCGGTGACTCGGGGTTGGACATGTAAATGCTCTTCATTCGAGCGCCACGACCCTCGTCAAGAGCAACCGTTCACTTGGGCAGAGGCCAAGCTCCCTTGAGGCACTCGAGGGCGTGGTGGGCCAAAGCGATGATCCGGAAGAGCCTAGCACGCAACGTTCCTCCAACCATGACTCCGGTTCTTTTCACAACGAAACAAGGGCGTCATAGGATTCTCTGGGAAACATGCTGAAGTGAGCCTACAGGGTCATAAGAAAGATCTCAGGCCCCAAAAGAGACTATAAGTTACGAACTTTACTATGCCCGGTGATACAATGATTCTTGTTTCGTTGTTCTTCTAAGGAAAGTATCAGGCCGACCTCGTGTACTGCATCAGCACACGCTCAGTGAAGATCTCGCTCATGGGGAACTCGAGCTTCATTCTGAACCTGTGTCCCAGGGATTAGATGCAACGATGCCCAAGCTTTCGTCGAGCTACCACAACATTTCCAGAGGTATGTGCGTGGCACGCACACTCCATCCATCCATCCAGCCATAAGGCCATCCAGCCATGCATGCATGCATGCATGCATGCATGCATGCATGCATTCATACATACCAATGTATATACATGCCTATACGGTTACAGTATGTCCATCTGTGAGATTGCCGCGCTCATGTGCTGGTTCTTGTGGTGCGATGATCTATCAATGATTGCGCTTATGTCTCTGTTCAAGGAAACGCCGCCGCCCCACTCCCCATGTCCAGCCCCATCACTGGCCAGCACCAACATGCACATGAGAACCGCTGAAGACCTATGGACATGATGGCGTTTCGCTGATGTTGGAATGCGAAATCCAGCACCTTCGATGCGGCTTCCATCCAATGAGATCTTCACCAGCTGGACTACATCCAGAAACGAAATGGAATCCTCGGATTTTGAAGTCATCCGGATTTTGAAGTCATCCGAAGTAATGCGCCCGCTTGCCATTCCGCTTAAGGACAACAGCTATGAGACTCTAGTTAGATTCTTGCCGCCTGATGCCATCAAGGAAAGACACCGGCCCGTGGCCTGCAAATGTTCAGACGGTTTAGGGTTTGCAAGGTTGAGGAGTTGAGGGTTTAGGGAGCTAGGGTCAAGTCGAGTTCACAGGAGGATCATCTGTTTTGCGGACTAGGGCTTCTCCGAGTGATCTACTCCAACCCACCATCGGAAGCAGTTCAGAATCGGATCACAGGCTGGAGCGCTTTTCATGGCTCGAGTGCTGGGAGACCCGAGGGAGTGCTTCTTAGACATCTCAGAATCCGGCTGCCTCTTCACAGCGGGGCTCTCGGACACGAGGGTTTGGACATCAAGTGTGGATGTCCCATGATGTCATGAACGAAAGACGTTAGCTCGTGAGGGCTGGCCACTGGCATGTAAGACGAGAACCGGACATAACCGGGCATCTACGACACGCCCAAGCCTAGTAAGGAGGGCGCAGGGCTCAGCTGCAGAAAGATTCTGCTCAGCAGAGCGTCATCCTGACGCACCAGGGTCTATCAGACGCGGGACTTTGGGGCGTGCTACCCTCAGCATTCCGCACGTTTGGGGGCACCAGAAGCACGAGAAAATCAGAACCTGACTGCGAAAGCTCCTCCGGAGACGAGGGCCGCGGCACCAGCGACTGGAAGAGCGCCTGGAGCGCCTCGGCTCTTGGATCTTGCACTAATGTGGCCTTCAGGGCCTTCATGGTGTGCTCCCCTCTGTGGGGGTCTCGATTGAACCCACAAAGCGACCACCCTGACATGCTTCAAACCCGAAGAAAATGCTTGCGGCGCCGAGCACCAGGCTCCTTCCACAACAGAGGCCTGAATGGAAGTGAACACCGCTTGCATTCATGCGTAAGGGTGTCATCTGAACGTCTTAATGGCATTTTAGAAGACATCCGAGCAGGCTTTACAGTGGTTCCCAGGTCCGTCGACCTGGGCTGTACACGTCCTGAAAAGGCGGGCGGGGGGGGGACACTCAACTGTACATG